TCAACAATTCACGATACTCATGAACTTGGGATACTTCAGTCTACCTTTAGGACCATGTTAAGAAAAAAAAAAAATTACACTTTTAACATTATAATTTGCAAAGCAAAGCCTAGTTGAATCCTACTGAAGCCTAGTTGCATCATCTGAATAACAGTCTTTTCATGGATGAACCTATGCAAGACTAACATTTTTGCAATCAACTCATACTTAGCGATGAAACCACTTTTCATTCAAGTGGCAAAGTAAACCGCAATAACGTGCGAATTTTGGGATCGGAAAATTCTCATACCTACATTGAACACGTAAAGGACTCCCCAACAGTAAAGGTCTCTTGTGCAGCATCTTAGAAGGTTTACAGACCGTTTTTTTTTTTTTTTTCCCAAAAAATCGGAAAGTGGTACAGAACAAAGTCTCTAATACGGACATCCATTATCTGGAACGATCTATAATCTGGACTTCAAAGACACAAACTTACACATGCACGTAAAGCCAGTAAAGATTTTACCCATGCACGCTTCCAATAGTGAAGAAAGTAACAGAGAAAGTTATTGAAAATGAAAAAATTTCGATTGACAAGTTAGTTGGTATTCTCGACACAGCAATTACAGGACTTGAACAGTGGAACTTTGTAATTGAACAAGAAATTATGTCCGTTTATAGAATTAAAGAGAAAGTATTAGCACAAAAAACGAAGCAACTTAAACAGCTTATATTGATAGAAATGTTTACTTAAGTAAACAAATAAATATTACACTTTTATTTTTGTAAGTTTTGATACCCTTTAGATCATAATTGCTGTATATTTCATAAATTACGGTTTCATATTTTTAATTGTATTATTTTTGCATGCTGTCTTACCAGATTTAAATTGATGATATATAATCCAAAAAACCCCTAATCCGGAATCGCCGAAGTCCCAATGAGTCCATATTACGGACTTTGTACTGTATTGCAAAATTTCTAACATATTGAGTAAAGGTTTTCCTGAATTTGAAGGAAGATACGCAAAATTAAATTTTTCAACAAGATATCGTGCACCACCCCACTGGTATCGGGAGGTTCGTAAATTTCTAAACAGAGAACTACCATATTACAGGATTAGGTCCAATACAGCAGATGATTTGGTCAAACAACAGCTACCTTCCTAGATCACTTCATTTAACCACATGTGACTTCGTTCTTTAATGTCAAAGATCATGTATTCATACAACCCTTGCCTGTAAGTTTGCCCAAACTTAAACAATGCATTTGTGATGCTTTACAAACAGTTAATAGTAAAACATTATGTGTTTGACAACAAATGGATTGGATTGGATTATTTAATTATGGCAAAGCACACGAGGGCTATCTGCCTAAAGGGGAGGGATGCCTTCGTGGAGGACTTTCTAAGGGTAACTGGCTTGTATACACGTTACACATGGGGAAAACCACGAAAACGCCCATGCAGCCAGCCGTTCACGGGATTCAAACCTCACACTGAACTACCAGTGTTCAGCGTCTTTCTTTACTGCTCGGCTGGCAACAAATGGCAAATTGCATCTATATTATATAGGCAAATAGAAGTCATACTGAACACTTGTTAAAAAAAAATTTTCTTTGATATATCATTTATAAATTTATCTTTGCAATTACGGAAAAAATTAAATTTTATAATTAGATGATTCTTTCCTAATAATCCTGTGTTTAGAACAGGCATTTATTTAACAGATTCAAAGTTTTTCGAATTAAAGTTGTGAAAAGTGATCAGGTTAGAGATTAGACTTTATTTAAAATCCAGGGCAACTTAAACCTTTTATAAAAGTTTTATGACCTATTTATAAAAATGAAGTAGAAAGTTTGCATTTTGCTTATAAAGCTTACATTTTCTTCCAAGAACATTTATAATCATAATATTTCAATTTAAAAGTACTAAACTGATTTCAGTTCAAGACGTAATCAGTTTTTAAACGAAATTCTCTTAAATATTCATAAAAACTAACCAAACTAATAGAATTCTGCCTATTTTTCATAAGCTATACTACATATGGAAAGCTTCTACAGCTGGTTCAAAAAGTGTGAACATTAATTATTAGCTTAAGAAAGACATATTAGGTATCTTTTATTTTTTAGAAAAATTTACATTGTTTATTTAAATAATTTTGAATCTTCAACTATCTCAGATTCTGGCATGCGATATCTGCCTTTCTCAATTTTAAGACACGTATGCTGAGAATGTTAATTCTATCAATAGTTCTGTTTAAAAGACAAAACGAAATATGGGAGAAGTGCAGAATCGTCCACTTATTTGGCGTTGTGTTTGGCACTTTTTACTTGAGTAACAATTGGATTTTGGGTGATTTCCTTTAACTTTTTAAGTGAAAATACATTGATGCATACATGGACAAAGTCAAGGGAGTGCATAATAGCGAATTTCTGCTATTCTTTGATGTTTTTTTAAACGAAAATAGGTCAATGTGTACACGGATACCAAATTTGTGCAATTCTTAAAAACGCACCAAGCAATGGGTAAAATCCTAATATACGGTGCAGCCTTGGCGCAATTTTGGAAATTATCGCCAACAACAAAAATGACCCAAAGAACGTCTATGTATATATAATGATAGTATACTTTACACTATATACATAGTATATACTATGTATAACTATAATATATCCTTTGAATACCCTTTTACTACTCATCATATATGTCCCGTTTTTACTGTTCATCATAAAAGTCGCCAAATCCTGTGTGAACTGGATACTAGGATTAAACCAAGCAGTGGATGATTCTGCACTTTTTCCCAAAATATCAGTGAGTCATTTAAATCAGCTTTTACATGACTACATGCTAAACATTGCAACATTCTTTTCTTGCAGGGCATGAAAGTTTGATATAATGAGAACTATCTACATAATACAGCAATGTTAAAAATAATTCAGTTGTAAGTTTTCATATTGAACTCAAGATTATTACTACTATTAAAAAATATGTTTAGTATCCATAAAAGAACTTAAAAGGCATTTTATTCTAAGAAAATTACCTAAAATAAGAAATATACGCTAACATTTCACCAATAGGTTATTTTAATAATTGTAAAAATGTGGGCAACACTAACAAACCAAATTATTTTTGTAACCAAGGAGGCTAAAAAAATTAAGGATAAAATAGAAATTTACAGTAGTATATTTTCTATAAAAACCTGAAAATCATAATTTAGAATTTTGAACAAAAAGATTTAAAATATTTTACGATAAAATTTTATTCTATTTAATACAGGAGAGCTATGTAAATAATTCAAATACCTCATCAAAACAGTAACATATATAATCAATGAATACAGAAGCATTTCTAATCTTTACTCTAAACTTACATTTTTCGTGTATGGGAAAACATTTGAAACATGGCAATTATGCAAAAACATTTCCTGGCCCCGTTATTAAAACTAATCGTAATATAAAATTTCTCCAATACGTAACAAATGTTGCATTATATCAATAATATAGTCTTGGATGCATTTTCTCATAAAGCCTCAGATGTTTTACCATTCACAATATTTTGTTTTAAGGTAGGAATACCAACTTTATAGATAGTCAGAATGAACATCCAATATCAACACCACCAAATGATCTCAGCCACTCCTCTCATAGCGACATACTCCTTATAAGGTTAGTATTAGATGCAACTCACAATAGCAAATACAACAATTAATTACATTTATAGAACACTTTCTAAAAAGGTTGGCTTATGTATAAGGAAAATTAAAGAAAATCTTTTTGCTGTTGGCCTACTTACAATATTTATATTTTCCTATTAATATGCTAATATGTAAATAAATAATTTCATTTCACTTTACTATAGCAAAGCATCAAGTTTCAGAAATTGTTGAAAAACTTGCTAGATTAAACAAAATTAACTAGTTTTCTATTTCATTATTTTTCTTATGATAGCTTATGTTCTGAACACAATTACATATTTAAATCATTTCTAAATACATACTGTGAAAAATAAGTATGGAATTTAACCAATTAGTGTTTGACAACTAAGCTTTTTTGTTATTGTTCTGTTACTGAGACCAGATTCAGAAATGTATTAATGTATATGCATGTATATGTATACACACACCCATTCATGCTTACATATGTACATGCATGCACAAACAAGTACATTTTTGGATCTGACCCTGATAACAGAACAGTACAGTTTTTTCTTTTTAAAGTCTTAATTAAATAAGATAATTACTCAGAGAGAAAACTAGTAAAACAGATACTAGTTCATTTTCCTCACAGTTAACACGACTCCTCACACAGTAGTTAAGACAGTTTTTATAAATTTCCCCCACCTTAAGCTTCTTAGCAGACTTTTCTAAAAATTCTAAAAACTACACTTCATTATAAGTAACAACACATAAGGAAAACTCAATTTTACACAATAATAATATTAAGAATACTAATTAACTGAAAACTTATTATTTCTTATCTCAAAATTCTTTCCCTACTTGTGTGCATCACCTTGGCATTCATGTAAGTTAAAGTTCAAAATTAGTACATTAATTACCCTACACAAGTACTTTCATTAAAAATATATTCTCAAATTTTCCCTCACTTTTAACTCACAAAACAATAAGATTTAAAAGCAAACAAATTTCCATGACCCTTATTGATTCTTATTACTTCAAATTTTCTATATCAAAATCTATCTCTGCTATTAAATATTACTTCAAGTTAACAAAAATAAGTTACAAGATGGATATTAACAACATGTATTTGCATTTAACTACGTTTAATCATTTTGCAAATAAAATCTTAAAATCACCCTTTTACATTAACATTACATGTCGATAAAACTACACATTACTCCATCCACTATCATTTTCTTTTCTTATATCTCTAATCATTCTATTAAACACTTCACTCGCTAACTTGACAGTCTAAAATTTTATCCAAATCAAAATAACTGCTTTCTTTCACTTACCTTGACAGAAACATGGTAGAGAAACACATTTACACACAGAACACACCAATTTAACTGAAAAAAAAATTTATTAGTAAATTTTCACGTTCTCAGACCACATTCAATTTCAAAAACAGATGAATTCGTGAATGATACAGTTCACATTATTAACAACATGTTAAGTCGCTGAATTTACACAGATGAGAGAAAAGTCACTGCAGAAGTAGGAATGTCCTACAATTAACAAAGTTCACTAGAGTTCACTTCTGGTCTACTGCCGGTTTTTCCATAGAAATAGGCACTACACGTTCATTACTAGGCGGTGGTTCTATAGCCTTCTTCGGTGCTTCGATGGTCAGTACTCCATTTTGACTTAAAGACGATTTCACACTTTCTGGCTCTGTACCTTCTGGTAGCATGTAGCGTCGAGTGAATTCACGGGAAACGAAACCATGTTCGTCAGATTTTTCTTCGTGTTTACCGTGGATGACTATGTAATTGTCAACAGTCTTCACCGTTATCTCGTCAGGTTTGAACTGGCTCACATTCAGCATCACTTGAAACTTGTCAGATTCATTCTTCACCACAGATTGTCCAGACGCATCGATGTTGCCTCGAGTTCGCGGCCGAATCAGATAACCACGGTACACAGTAGGTGGTAGTAGATCAGATTCTACGAGACCCGATCCAAAATGCTGGTCAAAGATACGCTGAGGATAATCCCAGGTGTCCCACCAATTTCGGGAAAGTAACGGAAGAAGTGGGAACGCCATCTTGTATAATGCAATTCTTTATAAACAGCAACCGCCTACAAAACAGCAAAATCACGTAAGCTATCGCTTTATTCTCAATCTGTATTGAGCGCCCAAACTCGCCGCTTATATACAATTGAATGCCGGCTTAGAAAATTCTAGTATTTTCTGGTACGAGAGTATCACCATGGAAACAAGTTGCAGTTGCTACATTTGGCTTCAAAGCGCTCTTTCTGTCACGAGCGGAAACGTAATAAAATCGCCAACGCCGCAAAGGCGAATTTTCATAATCGGATTTAATAAATGTTTATGTGCAATTTGTGCACAAATTTTACTGAATAAAAGTAAAATTATGAAATTTCCATTTTTAATCACTTAAACACGTTTATAGAACATAGATAAGTATATACATTTATAGTGTAACAAAAGTTTTATTTAAAAACATAATTATTCAAAGTATTTTCGCGCAATATGCTGCTGAAAATTCATCAGTACATACAAAAGTAAGAAATTTAGAACCTACTTTATACAAAGATCCCCAAAAACTGAAATTCAACACCAATAAATTCCAAAACATCATACAAAAGAAGAATTTTAAAAATGTGAAATTTAAACCTAAAAATTATAAAAACCTGCAAATATATACCAGAACCAAAAAATAATAAATAAAAATGAGGAACTTCATTAAATCTGATGTAACTTCGTTATCAAGAGGTATATAATATAACTAAAAAATGGTCCTTCATTTGAAGTCTAGAATTTTTTTATGTTAATAAAATTTTCATAAACTAATTTAATTGTGTAAAAAATATTGCGAACAAATCTTTCAATTCCTGTGAATATTTAATAAGTATGTGAAATGCGAAGAGAAATTTAACAGTAGCCAATTTAGCCATTTAGTGCCAGAAAATAGTAGCCCCCTGTCACTGAACGGCGGCACGTGTATGACCTCGAAATGCTAAAAATTGTTGATAGGCGATTCCTTTGGAGAATTGTTGTTTCGTTTTCTTTATTGTAATGTAGTACATATTACTTGAAAATTAAGTAGAAATTGAAATTCTTATTATTAGTACTAACAGCAAAATACTGCTTAAGTGCTAGAGATCCCTTTTCTCCCAAAAATATCTTTGTTAATAATCATAGGAAACACATCGCTTAAATATTGAAATTTTTTTCATAATTATTGAATGTTGCGATTTGTGATAATTATTCTGATTGAGAATCGATGCTGTTTACATGAGTAAATAAATTACAGGCGTTTGATTTCGACTATTCGCCTCATTATACTTTTATTGCGGATGTTTAACAACATGAAAATTATAAACGGATATTTGAAAACATGTTTTTAAGTGAAGCCATTGAAATCAAGATACCAGACTTACAGATAAGAATAAATACCTTTTATCATTAAGATATAATAATATTTTGGGTTATGCGTTTTAAATATGAATGGTAAAACAAACAGGAAGTCTTTGAATTCTAGATTTTTCTCCCAGAAGCCGATAACTCTTCTGTACTTAGAGTAGCTAATTTTCTACCTATTTGAGATAACTGTTGCTATATAAAAAGATTATTGCAGTTGCCCTTAATGATTTTGGAAATGAATTCGAGAGTTTGTTAAAAGAGTTTCTGGTAAATTCGGTTTTTAGCTAAGGATTCTACGTCTGTTAGGAAGAGGACTTACCAGAAATTTAAAGTGGAAAATTATGCAATAAGGGTACCGTAAAGATTAAATCCCTAGTAATGAATAGTACTGTATGTCTTTAAAAAAGTAATAAAGAATTAAATCAAAGTGATTTCCTTCAGCATCTAAAGAGTTAAAACTTTATAGATATTGACTAAAACAAAATATTTTCAATATTACGAGATTTTTTTTTTCTTACAGCCATACTGTACGAATTCGTTCAATAAGTCATAAAATGTGATATAATTTGATAATGTGTAATGACTAAATTTTATATTTTCATTGCTAGGAATGGAATATTTTCAACGCTAGTAAAATTTTCTAAATGTACTAGAAGAAAATATAGTGATATTCAGAGCCGTGTCTACATATTTTTTCAGAGGCAAAGCAGTAAATGTGCGCCCCTGTATACAATGCAAGATTATTTATTTACCTATTTGTGTGGGGGGGGGGGATAAATAAATAATATTAAATGAAGTTTGGAAAATAACATTAACAATATTGATTGTTTTTAAAAGTTTTGGTTTTTTACATTTGTAAATTCTTGTTGCTTATAGATTATTTGAAAATATTAATTATGAATAAAAAAATTTTCTCGCTGTGAAACATTAGTGCTAATTCTTACTTTATGTCTTTAATACATTTACTATAATCATACATAAAACAATTAACTGATTTTATGTTCATTAAAAGTAACTATTTCTAGTGAAAAATACAATAATTCTTACAATAATATTTAATTATAATTTATATTCCACAAAGTGAAATATATAATGATTAACAATTTGAAATGGAAAACATTAAAAGTATGTTTTGAAAAAATTACAAATAATATTAAGTATCAAAAATATCTGCTCAAAAAATTATGGCATAAACTTTTCAAGCATATTTATAATTTAATTTTTCTTGCTTTTAAAAAGAAGCAAAATCATGAATAAATTTTTCAAAATCTTATTTGATTACTTAACTCATGTTCTATAGAGAGAATGGCCATGTTTGAAACTTTTTCTTGGCCTAGTGAAGATCTCATATAGTTCTTTATTAAGTTTGCTAAGGCTTCTTTCACCACTAGCTACAGTAACTGGCAACGTTAAAAGAATTCTTAACACTGCTTCCAAATTCGGATAGGATTGAACTAAATTATAATCGTAAATTATTTTTAAAAGTTCTAAGTTTTTAGCCGTTTTTGCGTCCGGAATTATTGAAATAGCATGGTTTTTAAAACTAGGTATTTCTGGCGGAATTTCTTCAGCGTTCATATCATTCAGATATTTAAAGTGCTAAGTTATAAGCTGCTGCCTTTAATTTACTTAAATTTAATGACACCAGTTAGAAACTGAAAATCGGAAGAGATTTCATTTAAATTTTCGTATCGCCATTTCAATTGTGAAATTCAAACGTCGAACACTTCTTCAATTTCTATAAAAATATATTTGTCTGAAAAACTACAATTTATATCAATTAGATTTATTAACTTTTCGTTTTCGTTTCTCTTCAAATTCTGATCAATTCATCTCTAAAGCTGAAGTTTTACATTTTTCAAAAATGCATTGAGAAATATTTTCTCTCTCATTTCCTGTAATGAAAGATATAGTCCCTCTATGTCTATGTCGTAACACAATTAAGAAGCAATCGGCCTAGTGCGGCCTTTACCAATATATTATAAGTAGGGTGTCTTTAATGATGAGTTGAATCCAGTAAGATGGAACGTACTTTTTGCACCTAGTGCAGAGTCTCTAGAAGAGAAGTAAACGTGGCCCCCACGATGTGAGAATCTGCAGCTTGAGGATTTCTGCCTCTCGGCTATGCTTGTCTTAAGAGAAGCTGCGAATTAATCTTGATCTGCAAACGTTCAAAATAATCTCAATGGCCTTGAAAAGCTAGACAAAGTTCTGCTTATTTGATTTAGCTGATTTAATTCTCTGAGCTATTGTGGTTATTGATTTCATGAGATAAAAGGTTTTCTGATCTTTGAAAATGTTAATGATTTCTGCTAAATTTTTCTGCAGGTGTTTCTGCTTAACTTTGTCACTGTAAAGGTTTTAAGGTATTTCTTGATTAGTTTGGATAAAGCTTGAATGAATTCGGGGAAGTCATCTTTAGTAGGAATTTCTTGTGGTTTTTCTATCTTCTCTAAATGATAGAATCTTTTCTGTATACCTTACAACCACGATGAGACATAGTCACTCTATTAAGCGTGCGGCTTTATAGACAGTTGTAGTTTTGATTGCAAGGTTTTATTTACTTTTTCGATTTCTTGCAATATTAAATTCCACGCAGATAACAAACATAAAATTTTAAGATTGATTTATTTCAAAATGCTGTTACTTTCAGCCCATTGCAAAGACTTGTGATATTATGCCATATCTTTCAATAATCTATGTACATCTGTTATTTGTAGATCTAATTCTTTAACAGCATTTGCTCTTGCTGACCATCGTGTATCCGTATGACCTTTTAATGTTGTTTTCAAAACGGACAGAAGTGCATCCCATCTACTCGTTGAAGATACAAAAAAAAAAAAAAAAAATTATAAATCCTCTGTACACTGCCAAAACATATTAAGATACTTGAATTTGTTGAAGCGGTTGATTTGTTGAAAAAAAAAAGGGGGAAAAAAAAGAAAATCTGAAAAATTTCAGATTTTAAATTGTGTTCAAAGGGGCGTTTTTTTAACATTTTGTGTGTTACCCTTATTTATTAAATATCATGTTCTTCGCACTTAAACCATAAAATTCAGTTCAAGCGCAATATCACAAAATAATTTTAAATCGAGCATATCTTTAGAATTTCCGATACACGCAGTCTCACGAGCTGGAGATAAAAATGTTTAATTCTGTACAACGTTGACATTGCTCGCTTTGGAATCCTTGAGTTTGTTAATCAAAAATTCCTTAAAGTTTTACAAAATATGAAACCGATAATGAAACAAATTCCAAATTTCAAATGTGGGCTTCCAAATGTCCAGTAGGATTACGTCATTCAAAATTGGATGGCTCTACGTACCGTTGTTTTATCACAGGGCGAGAAACAGACATACATTTATGCAGATTCTTCATTATTTAATTTCTTCAAATATAATACAAGGCGATAATATTTGGTGGCAACAGTTTGGAAAGTGAAACGGACATTCAACGTGATTCGACGCAAAATCGCAAAACGAAAACTATAGTCCCTCAGGGAATAAAGTCGCTCTGGACTAAAAAGAAAAAAAGTGCGATAATTAATGATATGGTACATTTCATTTTCAATCACCCTTGTTTATTCTTCCGATGCTATTCCAGAAGGCGTTTATAAAATTGCAAAACTCAGCAATTATGTCGCCGTTGTCTATGTTCAGTTAATATTCACTATTGTATTTCGAAATTGAAAGTTAAAAATCGTACATTTTAAAAATAAATTTCTGAATTTTTGATCGAATAGCTAAATTGGCGCCCCTTCTATTTGTTCACCTGAGGCGAGTGCCTCACCTG